GCAGGAACGAGCAGCAGCAATGCAGGGGAAATATTCCAAGTCCAAGGCATTCGGGCATCAAACAGGGAAATGACTGAGATGCAATTCAATCATTGCACAGAGCCTAATTTTCAAAGAGCCTGCCCATGTGAATCTCATGTGGGCAAACATGTGCACATTAGGTGTGCGGGGCACAATGGTTGCACACCCAGGCATGGTACTTGTGTACCAGTTCTGGAAAGTCTCGGTGTTAAAGCAGACCACGTCGCCAACTGAGCGAGATTCTGTGAACTAATTGTCTCATTATTGAATTTACTCTTTTTCTTTGGGTGGACAGACGTTATCATCTGTTCTTTGGGAGGAGTGCTCTGTGGGTTGTAGCATGGGGGTTTCCAAGCCTCCATGTCCCCATCAACCAGCAAGAAAAACCACAGGAGGGCTGCAATGCGGACATGGGACCATGCAAAGAAGCACAAGCAAGGGCTTTTCAGTGTGCCCTAGAGCAAAGATGCCCCTGCCTGTTTCGTGGCAGCCGGGGTGGGAGGGAGTTCTGCTGGACTTCCCCGTAGGACTCATAGCAGTTGATACATGCCCATTTTATCCTCCCATGATGCTGTATACACACATCTCCAAGTGCAGGGCAAGGCACACAATGCTTGAGTGACCCCACAAATCAAAGAATTAAGATTTCTGAAGCACTCTGAAGTCTCCGAGCAATAGGCAGCAGAGAGATGCAATGTATTCACTCCTGTATTGATTGCTGTTGTTGAGAGAGAGAGACTCTCTGAATACAAGGGGCTCATGGCTTGAATAGACTAAGAGTGCAAGAGGAAACGGTAACACTGAGCAACAAGGCCACGGCCAGGCAGTGGGACAACCACACAGCCCAGTTTATTGCCCCATTTATTGCACCGCTGCACACGATGGGTGGGTAGTTGCAGAGAAGGAGAGAGGGAATCCTGTTTCACGATGGTAAGGGAGTAAGAGCAGAAGTTACTACTTATAGTCAAGGTGGATTTAGATGACATGCTGGAGGCTTAAAACGTTACTAGGGCTTTGCTGTTTCACTTGCCCAGAAAGGGGGGAAATAAAGGCTGATGCATGAACTAATCCAAGGCTCTCACCCTGCTCCCCTCTTCCCCGTCTCTTCCCATCACAGGCTTGTCAGTCCTCCAGAGAGTGCTGGATACGGCGGCGGAGAAGAACTGGCAGGTGACAGCCGTCAACATCCTGACGACGACAGAGGAAGGCTACAGGATGCTCTTCCAGGAGCTGGAGAAGAAGAAGGAAAGGCTGGTGGTGGTGGACTGCGAATCCGAGAGGCTGAACGCCATACTGGGCAAGGTGGTGCTGACAGCGGCTGCTTGGGGAGGGGGCTTGCACGTGCTATGGGTCTTCTGTGTCTCTCTGGGATAAGTCCTCTTCTTGCTCCTTGTATCTGAGATGCATTGTTAGGAGGCCTCTTCTGTGGGGTCAGCGTGCGAGCTCGGAGACATCTCGCCTTTATGGGATGAAAGACATGGTAGAGCTGGAGGAGGGCTAGGAGCTCCCTCTGGGTTTGCACCTTCACACTGTGCCTGTTCTGCAATATTTTTATTCTTTGGGTTAATTGCCTGGCTGCTTTATACAGAGCTCGTTATGTTGGCTGTCCCCCCCGGCCAGCTCGTCTGCAACCAGCTCCTAAGAGCTCTGTGCACAGAAGATGTTACTTTTTCATTCTCTCTGCTCCCCGGTTTGTTTTTTTTTCAATGGGTCCGTGCCATGAACCCCATTGCCCCTCCGTGCCCCAGCTCTGACACTCGCCCTCTCACAGAAGAGGGCCATCAGCGAAGCTTCCTCCACAACTACCGCTCGGGCCCCCCACACCTGTGGGACTCACCTTTCCACGTCCCCTACAAAGCCCCTGACACTGCCACGGCAGCTGGCGTGCGGTGACTGCTGCTTATCAGGCTCTGTATAATGGTCTTGCTGCTATCTTGTGCTTCTCACATATGTTTATTTGAAGCCACCTGCCACATCTTGTCTCACACTTGGATGGTGAGCTGTCTAGGGCAAGAGTCATCTTTTCCATTAGATGTATGCACAGTGACTAGCATAATCAATCCTTGTCTGACGTCTCTAGGGGCTACTACAATAAAAATAATAGAGAAGAGATCAAAAGCTGACCCTAAATGAGGTCGGGGCTTATGAAAGGGGCCAGGTTAACTGTTCTGGCAAGCAAAATCTTTTGTTTAACCACCGAGTAGCCAGAAAATGAAGTGCTGCTTTGCATGCCCTAGCCAATGGCATCTGGCTTGAGCCTTATGGGATGCAGCACATTGGAAACCTGGGGTTTTATATTTGACACGCGCTTCAGATGATCTTGTAGCATTTTTCCCTCCTTGCAGAGGTCCTTTTTCAAGCATGTATCTGATTTTTAATCCATAGTGATGGACTGGTCTGGCCATTTTTTTTATCACTGATGCAGGAAAAACACTTTGTCTTCTATTAGCTAAACCAGTTTTTAGAAGAGATAAGAAGCCTTTCTATTTAAATGTTTTATAGCTTGCTGAAGGGAAGGAGCAAAATCCTTTTGATTTGCAACCACTTGGAAATATCAAGGTGTTTACCTTTTTTAAAAAAGGGCTCATAAATGGGGGGAAAAAAATACATAATGCTAACTTATTTCCACATGGTCCTGCATTATAGCAAGAGTCTTCAAGGGTTTTGAAAATATGTATTCCTCAATCCACACTTTCAGGAGGGCTAAGATTATTTTTCATGCTGAGACTTGTGAAAGTTTTAACTTTCATTTGTTTTTAGGCTTTGCTCCCAATTTTATGAAATGCCACGAGAAAAGGGATTTTGGGTAGACACAGTCACCCCATGGAAACCTGCTTGACTTCTCAATGGAGAATTTCTCCTCTCCTCCCCCAGCCCAGCTTCTTCTCATCCTGCTTCCCAGCCCTAGCCAAGGTGCTCTCAGCAGCCGTATGATTTCATTTTCAACCGAAACGGCCACTGCTGGCAGGAGGTTCAGAAACGGTACCTTTTGTAACAATGCCAATAGAAACAAAAGCTGTGCTTGGTGAGATGAAGTCCCTAGAGTGAGATTTTCAAGAGCTCACCCGCCAGCCTGCTGTGCATCCTTTTGGAAATTGGCCTGCACGGTTAAGTGGTTATAGGGGAACTGAATGCCTGGAAGCTGGAAGAGGGGTGCAGACCCCTTTTATCTGATAAGGCAGCTGCGTTTCTGGGTACAGATGTTCGCCGCTCTTTTATACAGGAAAATATTCCATCCTTCCTAGCAGCACTTCAGCGGTCTTAATCCTGAGACAATAAGAAGACAAGAGGTGGTGCACGGGGCGGGCCCAGAGTCACCCAGTCTCTGTCAATGGTCTCCCTATAGACTCACAGAAAATGCGGGTTGGAAGAGACCTCAGGAGGTCACATTGAGTTCAGCCCTTTGCTGCAAACAGGACCAGCCCCAACTGCATCATCCCAGCCAGTCCTCCATAGAGATTTCTCTAACCCCTTTCCGAACTTGGTTATATTCCTGGCAATCCCTGCAGCAGTGACTTCCACATTTGTAAGCAAGCACTTCCTTTGCCTTTTAAACCTCCCACCTGATTAATGAAATGCCCCCAGAAAGCTCTGCCAGCACATTTTAATCCAGACCTGCAATGCCCCGGGCTAAAGATGCACTAACCATGCACTTGGTCGGTGGTTCGCAGGGGCTCGGATAGCACTAAACGAACCCCCACGTAGACCCAGGTCGGCAGCTGGACGGGTTAGCTCGCTGCACCACGCAGCCCAGTGGACAGCTATCGGCCCTTGTGCTCCCGTCTGCTCCTTTTTATCTACGTGACGTGTCCAGAGATGCGCTTTGGCTTCTCGGGGACGTTTCAGCACATTCTTCTTCGCTGACAAGCCTGTCACTGTCACTTGGTGGCTGTGAATTTTTGCTCCCCGTGGAATAGAAAAGCCGAAGACCGCCATAGGACATAAGTCACTCAGGCATACACGCAGATGCTTGCCATCTTCCTCACTTCTTCTCAGACACCGAGCGCAAGTAATTGCGCCCGACTTTCAAGTTGCTACGCCTGAGTTCATCTGACCTCGCTTCCAAAATTCATCTTCATCCAAGGGTTAAAGGGATGTGGGAAACCAACCTGCTTCCCATTTCGGAGTTTTCTTTCGCCCCCTGTCAGAGGAGCAGCATTTCTCTCTGCTCTCTTTTATGAGCTAGCCCCGCTGGCTGGTGGCAAAATATCCACTGAGCCATACTGCGTTGTCTTAATGGGATAAATAAGTGGTAGGTGGCATCCCCTCAAAGCACTGTATTGTTTCTTCCCTGTCGCTCATTAAAATGAATAACGGGAAACTTCCCTTCTCTGCTGCTTTGCTCTCAGAGAGGATTTCTTGCTAACAGATGTCAAACTCTGCCCATTAGGAAGTGGGTAATAAAACCTGCCTAGTCCAAGCGAGGTATCAGCATGCAGCCCAGCACTGCCTCTTCCCATGTTCAGATGAAGTGATAAATGCGATTATGCCCTCAGCTTGCCACCTCCATCCAAAAGCATTAGAATGGAGCGAGGATTTTGAAATAAATTAAGCAAGCAAAAAAAAACCTGGTAGCAGGAGTCATCATCCAGGGAAAGACGGTCTCCATTTGGTTGGCGCTGATGCCCGATAAAGTAGCCAAGGGGCAGTTTGGGTGCAAGGAACTGGTGACATCTGTTCCCACATGGTAGTAGATCAGAGATCGTGGTCATCCCAAGACCTCTGATGTTTTCTTGGTACATTTGGGGGCTTGATGAATAGGTGGGGTCTCAAGTGACGATGTGGGAAGGGTCAGAGAGTTGTACCCGTTGTTCCCCAAATGCATCCCTGGAAGAGCTCCAGCCGGAAGCCCTCCGTCAATCGGCATGCAGTGCAAGCTGCAGAGCCGAGTTTTCCACGAGGGACCACTCCGACCTGGAGACGTTCCAGCTTTACCTACATCACTCATATCTAATGATCCCCCCAGGAGAACGGTGAGGCATGAAAAGGTCTTGGCACCGAACTTACTTGTAACAAAAAGCGCTAACAGATGTATTCTGCAGAGGAGCTAATTGAGGCACGGATTTTAGCATAGGGAGTCAGAAGGGTTTTAATATATACACTTGAGCACTTGAGCTGGGCAAAGGTAAAACAGATGAATCAGTTGCTCAGGAACAAGTGTCTGATAATTAGAAACCCATTTGGTAATGATGATAATGGCTGGGATCTTTCTGGCTTTCCTTCGCCGTCTTGCAAATGTCACTTGGGCTTTGGCAGTTCTGCTGGCAATTCAAAATCTGTTTGCAGCACCGCAGAGATAAGGTGTGGTCTAGCCTGCTAAAAAGCTGAATGCAAATAGCGCGTTCCCCTCAATAATGGGCAACTCGCCTGAATTTTTACTCACAGGATTTTTTTTTTTTTTTTGCCTTTACCTGGTTTGGCTCCTATCTGGGTAATACCTGGCTTTAGCAACGTAGTAAGAATTTGAATCCACTGATGGAAATGAGTGGGAAGAGATTTTAACGGAAACATGGGGTGAGCAGAAGTGCCGTGATTGAAACGGTACAGCTGGACTCTGTCCCCCAACAAGGTTTGTTTGCTCCCACGAGGGCAATGGAAATATTTTGACAGATAAAGGAAACCTGAAAAATTACGGGCCTTGAAGCAATGATACCAATAAAGAAGCGCTCAAACCCAAGGATCAACGAAGAAAGACCATGCCTCTAGGGGCACCGTGAATATAGAAATACAACTGCAATCCATATCTTAGGGGAAGCATCCACTGAGCAGCACTGATTTAGGGCAGCTTTGCCGTGGGGCCGGAAGATATTACCCACCCTCGAGCAGCAGTCCTCAACCTTTTGCACCTTGCATCCCACCAACCATTTTGTCAAAAAGAAAAACCCGGTCCCACCATGATAAAAACAAACCCCTGTTTTTTCCAAGAAGTGTATTTTTACATTCACATGCGTTTTAGTATTATATTAATCATTAGTGGACATTTTAAGGTGGGAAAAGTCCCACCTAAGCGACCTTCGAGTCCAAACACTGCCCGAGAGCGCTAAAGGAAGTGGCCTAAAGTAACGTCGGTCTGAGCTTTGCTGCATTTACCATGACGTGAAAGTGTGGGTGCTTTGAATTGTACAACCTGAGAATAAATTTGAAGTCGTGCTCGGTGATTTCATTACACTCTTCAGATAATGGGCTCCCTCTGGTGATCCTTCCTTTTTGGAGGCAACCAGAATACATCTGGCCCCGTAGATAAAAGGTACCCATTCTTCTCCAGAACCCACAGGACGTATTTTAACTTGAATACTTTGTGGTCTCCCTGCCTGTGGGACGCAGCGGGTTAATGGGGTTTTGCTTAACTTTTTTCCCTAGCTGTTTTGTTTTGTTTTTTCCAGTCTTTTTTACTCTCCAGGCAAACTATGTCCTTGAACTAGCCAGGAAAATGAATTGCATGGGGGAGGAGACAAACAGCTGGGTTGCGCTCCCTGCACCTGTCCTTCCACCAGGCCCCAAATAAAACCTTTTGTTTTTGACATTGCAGATCATCAAGCTTGAAAAAAATGGGAATGGCTACCACTACATCCTGGCGAACTTGGTGAGTTGGGTGCTGCTCGTTTCACATCTTCTTTGTGGGATGGTGGCTTAAGAGTTTCTGATTGCAAACTTCACGCCAATGTAGAGGGTTAGATTAAAAGTCATCAAAACTGCAGCCCTTTATCCCTGCACTGCAAAGGGAAAAGCCAAAGCACAGGCTTCCCTGCGCTGCTCTGGCGGCACATGCCAGCCCTGATCTGGGGAGGGGCTCTCCGGGACATGACCATTGTTTCATCTCCAGACCGATTCGCTCTTTGCCAAGCTGAAGGCGAATTGTGAGAGCAGTATTTGTGTCATGGGCACCTGGATCCCGGATCCAGACCTCCCACCGCATTTCATCGAGGCCACCAAGCAGCTGTCAGCTGGTGCTAATCTCTCATTCTCCACTAGCCTGAACGTCCGTTGAATTTGTGAACCGTAATTAAAGTGTTGCATGTCCCGTTAGCACAGTCCTGGCAGCAGACACGTGCAAATGGCAGCATGTGGGATCCCCCTGAGCCTTCCAGTAACCTGGAGCTATATGAGCTGTCCTGTAACATTGTGGTACGCACGGGCTGGGTGAAGAAGGCTCTTGTGTCCAAGGATAGGACTTGGGGGTGACCATTGCTAAGTATTTCCTGGGCTCTGAGAGGCCAAACGTGCCCCAAAGACTTTTGGGTGTCACAGTATTACCACGTGCCCCAGGTGTAGAGCACATACAGGTTCTCTCCCATGGGACGTAAGCCTTACCCATTTTTAATAGTAGTTTTTCCCCTCCTGCAGCTTTTTGTCTCAGAAGGTAGCATCAGCCCCCTAATAATTAAACGTTAAACTACCAATTAATCAAACATGAACTGCCATTTCTTTTTCCAGTTCCAAGATAACACTATAATTTGCAAGACAAAAATGGCCACATAATTATCCCGCTCCAGCCCGGTACTGACCTTGTGCCATTGCATTCAATGGCTACGGTACAATGAGAGAGTTTAACATGTTACCAGTCTGCAACGTGTAAGCTTTTAGAGAAGTGGCGTGTATTCAGTACTGTGCTTTATCTATTAATTGTGTTTCAAAGGAAACTATTTCATTGGGCCCCTGGCCTGCTAGCATTTCTGATGGCTGTTATGCTCAGTGAGGTACACTGGACTCCGCACCTGCATATGCAAAGGGCCAAGTGTGGATAATATCACCTACCTGCTTTGCACGGTCGTCGTAAGGCTGTGCATGTGCCTGTGCGTGTGTGTGTGTGTGTGTGTGCATTTAAGATTGTGAAGCACTCCCATGAAGGTACGAGGGTCCTGCAGAGATACTATAGATAGATGGATATAGATGGAAAATATTCCTCATTTCCCTCTCACCCTCATGCTAGGTCCCTCTCTCTCTCTCTCTCTCTCCGGTTGACGGAGACAACAGTCTCTGACTCTCTCTCTCGTCTGCTTTCTCAGCCTCTGTGCAAGGGCCAAGGGGATGGTGCTGGCAAGGAGCAGGCTGCTTCCTCAGCCAACACATACCATAAATAATTAATAGCCACGAAAAGGCTCCCGGGGCTTTCAGCTTTCTGAGGACAGGTTCAGCTTCTCAGGGGCTGGTCTGCCGTGGTTGTTTGCCGCAGGCGCTGTGTCCTCCCGAGTTCTTGAGCGTGAGTCTGGAGCCCAAAAGGTGAACGTCGTGCTCTGGGGGGTGTATTTTTATTTTTTAGGGAGGGCAGAAATTAGCAGAACTACCTTCTGACCACATCTACATGTTCATTAATGTGCAGTAGTTACTGGGGTGTATTTGGCAGCTGTGTTGGTCTCAGACAAAAAAAACGAAAAACTGTAGAGGTTCAGAGATGATACCTTTTATTAGACCAACTGAGAAATTGCAAAAAAAAAAGTATCTGATGAAGAGTGTGAGTGCCCAAAATCTTGCAGATTTTTTTTTTTTTCATCTTCTGTTGGTCAAATAAAAGATATCTCTGAGCCAAGAGATCTACATTTTTGCAGTAGTTACGGTGTATTTACTTGCTTAAATGCACAGTAACTAGACACGCACCAGAGAACACCTTCTTAGTGACGCTACTGCATAGTAGCCTAATAATACTGTGCAGTAGCCTATTAGCACTGCCCGTGCTGTGACTTGCTACTACGCAGTGTTATTAGGCTACTGCGCATTAAACGGCTCATGTAAACACAGCCTCTGCTATGCTGAGCTGGAGCAAGGACTCGGTGGCAAACAGCATCATTGCAAAACCAGTTTCTCCAAATGTCCCTAGGGACTTTGGCACAGAAAATAGGTAATAGAGGGGGAAATACAATAAATGGACACTTGGGAACTTGAAAACCATAGCAGTGGTGGAGCATTTGTAAAACGAGGGTAAGAAGAGATCCCTATTGAAGAGCAAATCTCCTCCAGGCAAGGATAGTATCATAGAGCAGGGCTGTCCAGAGGTCATCTAGAGTCCTTCCGAGGCAGGAGACGATCTGTAGATCTGCCCAATCAGAGCTAATCAGGGTACCAGGCACTGTCTGCAGAAGAGATGGCATGGCAGAGCAGGGAAAACATCTTGGTACAGCCTTTTTGCACTTGAGTTCGCTGGCAGGAATATTCAAGGAAATAGCAGAGTTTAACCAAACCCTAGGGACTATTTATGGAAAACAAGCATGATGCCCTTGGTTCTGCCCACTTGCACCAGAGACCCAATAAGCACCATGCTCATCATGCATTTACATCGGGCATGTGGGACATGCTGTACATGCATGATCGCACGTGTGATTGCCTGGTGCAATCTGCATGTGTGCTCACACCTGTGATTGTAGGTGCTTCCTTCATATATGATGAGCATTTGCATTGTGCTCATCCAATCATTAAGGAGAAATATGACATAACATATGACTTGCAGGCCAAGTCAAAATGGCTTAGAGGTAGCGCAGTGAATCAGAGCCCTAGTGTTGTACAAGTGTCTTAACCCACCACTTTTGCAATATATCCACAGGGTGAAAGGTGTTTGCATGGAAACCCTCAGGAACATTTTGCATAATAAATGAATCCATGGGCAGCAGACCATTGACACCAGAAAACAAGCTGATTTGACCCAATACTTACTTGCCCTTTCCTCGCTGTTTTTTAAAGCAGCCCTGAGTGCTGAGTTTAATTTTACCAGCGCTGGCCAATGACAGCTGGTGCTTTCAGAGCAGGAACATCATTGCTGCCCTGCAAAATGCGCATGGCCTGATGAGAAAATAACTTTTTCTTTCATGTCTTCACAAAGAAAGCAAAACTTTTTGCATCTTGGCAGGGCTGCGAAAGCCTGATCCTGAGCATGCATAAAAATGCAGCATCTGGAACAGTGCACACCGGCCGAGGAACCGGCCCAATATCCTGTCAGGTTTGCCAGCTGAAAGCATTTGGGGATTATATATTTCTTTCTTTGAGATCAAAAAAGCTTGGCAAGGAGAAGCACTGCTTGTTTTCTGGGCCCTGTTTTCCTGAAGCTTTGTTCTCTGCCTGAGCAGCAGCAGCTTCCGAAGCCACAAAAAGAAAGGCACAGTCAATTGTATCAGAGGGAGCAAGCTTAGAAACCTCTGGGATTTATTTCTTTTGAAGTTGCTAACTTTTCCCTTAACCTTGGCTTCATGTTTCTGTGCATCTGATGCAAGCGATTTTAAGCTGGCTCCTATCAGCGGTGGAGAGAACATCAGGTCTCTGTCAGGCAGAGGGGATCTTCATCTAAAAATAAGCGACACTTGTGTGATCTCTCTTAAAAGGTAAAGCATTAGGGACAGCTGCCACCAAGAGTGTTAATCCTCTTCTGCGCCTGCTGAGTGTTAGCCCAGGTGTTTCCCTTAGAAGCCGCTCTGGCTTGGAAATGAAGAGTTGAGCACACGAGATGGGTGATCTCAAAGCGACGGGGCGAGGGAAAGCAAAATTTCCTCACCAGTTCTGTATCTTAGCAATAGTAAAGCTTTTTCCTCCCACTGCTACCTCTGTGTATGTCAGGGCTGAGTTTGGGAGCATACTTTTCCAGATACAGAGACCTGCCATCTCTGCATGATATATAATGTATTCCCTATTCCCTTATGGAAGGGTGATCGTGCCCGAAAACTTGCAAAGAACTTTTTTTCCAACTTCTCAGTTGGTCTCATAAAAGATATCACATCTACCCAACGAGCCTTGCCTTAGACCAACCCAGCTACAGCCAAATGGCCATTTGTAGTGAGGGCAGTGATATGGTTTGGACATCCCTTATGGCCATTTGTAGTGAGGGCAGTGATACGGTTTGGACATCCATATGGTGCAATGCGCCTCGCCTACACATAAAACAGTTATATCCAACTCTGTGAGCAGCTTCAGACAGTTGCCATCTTCATTTGAACAAAATCCCTCTCCCTTTAAAGCTACCTTTCCCCTCCCCTAGTGTTGTACTGGTAGAAGATGCCGGACCAGCAATGTTCAGACCCATATCAGTGTGTGGTTTCATGCCCGATGTCCTGGGGTACCCACAGTATCAGCTTCCTGTCTTGATAGGATCCCAAGACATCTGACCTTGCAAATGCTGTATTATTATGGAGGGAAGAGGTGTTTCAGGCTATTTTTAGGTTTCTAAAATTATAGCAGTTAGAACTTCCCTCTCCCCGAGAGGTCTGCGCAGCTGGACTCATGAGGCAGCCTGACTTTACAGGCAGAAGGAGACAATATATATTATCAGTAAAGTTTCGTAGGCCTGTGGACTGCTTCTAAAATAGCTTTTCTGTCATTCTTCATAGATGATCAGGCAGAAGGGAACATTGTGATCATCTAGCCCGAGCTGCTGTCTAACGCAGGCCCTCAGAGCTCCTGGAATTAATTCTTGTTTGAATTAGAGCTTCGCTGTTGAGAAACGTTCAGCCTTGATTTAAAAATTGTCAGTGATGGAGAATCCATCCAAATCCTTGGAAAGCTCTTCCAGGGGTTAATTGCTAAAACCGGGTGCCTTGTTTCTAGTCTGAACTTGTCTGGCTTCTGCATCTGGCCATTGGATTGTGTCATTCCTGAGAGCTTAGA